GCCCACCAACCCTCTCTGAACCGTGATGGTGGGAGATACCGTCTTCCCGCCACTTTTGATGCACTCCTGACGTCATCACGTTTCCGACTTCCGGAAAGTCAGCGACTGCATCACAAATCTGACGAAGGTTGACGGGATCAGCCGAAAATTTATGGTGAGTTCTCCTTATTGTGTTGGAACAAGTCAAACTCTTTAACTATGTATTCTACCAACACAGATGAGCTTTCATTCGAATATTAGAAGAGATTTTGGACAGGATTCCTTGGATATAGTGCGGCATTTTGAGAAGACAAGCCACAAGATCGCTAGGTATCGCAACCACCTGAGGTTCAACCTGCACTGTAAGCACCATAACATCACGCCTGTCAGTCTCCGATTAACTAGTTGTGTGAAAGGCGACAAAGCCAACTCGATCCTCCGAAACACAGAAAGACAACTATTGAATATTAGGATTGGACAAACGGTTCAAAAACTTGATTACCTGAACAATCAGAAGGAACGTTTGGAATCCACGCTAGCCGACAAACTTCCGGTGGAAATTTCCAAGGACGTACGATCCAGGGTTGAAAGGTCATCCTTACGGGAACACATTTTAACTAAGACACGTCAGCAAAACAAGTTTTCTCGTCTAACACAAAACCAAAACGACAAGAATAACACCTCCCTTGCTGCTGATTGCATCCGTAAATGGGTAAAGAACTGTTCAGACCGAATCCTTAGAGATCCGGAACTCGCAGTACTCGCTAAAGGTTTAAACTACGCGACCTCGGAACCTGATATACCAGTGGTTGATATTATCTGTCAAACTGAAGTTGCCTGTCGGAAACTACCTGAAAGGGAGGCGAACACTTTACGTTCGAAGGTTAACCAAGTTCTTAACAACAGAAAGAAAGTAGACTCGAATCTCTCGAAAGAGGAAAGTGCAGCCATCAAGTCACTTAGACAAGATAAGAACATAGTCATATTACCGGCCGATAAGGGACGCTGTGTAGTAATCTTGAACAAGGAAGATTACCAACAGAAGTGCCAGGCACTTCTTAACGACGACAAAACCTACATCAAACTAGGCAAGAAAGATCCTACCACAAAATATAAGAAACAGCTAATTTCAGTGTTACAACAGATTAAGGAAGAGAAGGGGATAAACCAGGTCACGTATAGACAACTGTATCCTACCACTGAGGTCCCTCCGAAGTTTTACGGCCTTCCTAAGGTTCATAAGAACGGGTTACCTCTCAGACCTATTGTTAGCAGTATTGACTCTATCACATATCGCAGCTCAAGATACATAGCCGATATCTTATCACCCCTGGTTGGTCAATCCCCTCACCACATTGTAAACTCACAAGACTTTGTGGAGAAGATTCAACAACAAAGAGTAGAGTCTGACGAAGTGTTACGCTCATACGATGTCACGGCTTTGTTTACGTCAGTTCCCGTAGAGAAAACACTAGACATCATCCTACAGAGACTTGAAACAGACACCACTCTCAAAGAGCGCTCCACACTTTCACCTACGCATGTGGTTAACCTATTGAAAGTCTGTTTAGATTGTACATATTTTGTATACAATGGAGAATTCTATCGTCAGATCCACGGGGCAGCTATGGGCTCCCCAGTCTCGCCGATTGTGTGTAATCTGTTCATGGAACATCTTGAACAATTAGCCATTAACACTGCTCCCAATCCCCCACTGTGGTGGTATAGGTACGTGGACGATACACATACGAAACTAAAAAGAGCACACGCTGACGAGTTTACTGAATACCTTAATAGTTTGGACCCCGACATAAAATTCACCACAGAGGAAGAACAGAACAAAACCTTACCTTTCTGGATACCCTTACAGTGGTGAAAGACGATGGTTCGCCAGACATTAGGATCTACAGAAAACCCACCCACACGGACCAATATCTGAACTTTAGTTCTAACCACCCCCTTGAGCACAAACTGGGTGTCATTCGTACATTGTTTCACAGGGCGGACACCATTATTACCAACCCCCAAGATAGGGAGGCTGAGAAAGAACACATCACTCAGGCCTTGCTAAACTGTGGCTACCCCAAGTGGGCAGTTTCCAAGGCAACTGCCCCCAAACGTTCTACAACCTGATAGAAACCGTCAGTCAAACTC